GAGACCTCCCTCCTTCATTTCCTGAGATGGCCCAGCTTTTCAGGGCCACGCCCCACGCCAGGTGCACCTGGCTCTCCTCTGAGTTTATTCCGGACGGTTCGGGATGCTTAGTGCCCCACCCCATCTGGTGCCGCTTTATGTCATCCCACTGCAGCAGTGACGGGAGAGAAGAGAAAATGTGGTCGAGTGTCAAAAAGGACAAAAAGAAACTTAGGCTTCAGAAATAGTGAGACAAGCAGGAAAATCATATTTGTGAGTATTTAAAAAAGGAAATTCAGGAAAAGAACAGTGCTGTCAGGATAGGTCAGTGGTTTGATGCTATTATTGCCTTCTTGCACATAGGCACCTTTCCTAAATGATTGACAAGTGTTTAATTTATGAACAAAGGCATCTGTGCTCTGTCTCAAGGAAGGTCTGACTGAAATGCAGTGGTGTGAACATAGCCAAGTTGTAAATGGTTTGTGCCAGGAAGTTCTTGACAGCAACTTGAACCCAAGTCCGGTGAATGGTAGCCAAGGTGTTAAAATGAGAAGGGGAGAGGATGCAGCATCCTGGCCACGTGGCTCTCTAGGGAGGAGCAGGGGCAGGAGAGGAGAATCAGATCTGAAATCTGATCTGAGGAGAAGTACTGGCCCTTGTCCTGATCAGACACTTAGCTTCTGAAAGCACAGTGACCTGCTAACCATCAGCGAAGACAGATCGTCGGCTCTGCAATCCTGGAAGGCCGTGCGGAGTCTCCGGTCCCGCTGTTTTCCCTTTCCTCTGCAGCCATGGCTAATGGTGCAGCCATCACCCGCAGCAGGCATAAATCCTTCCTCCCACAAGAGGATCTTGGCTGGATGTGACGTTTATAGGACTATAGGAGCAGCTGGCGATGTCGGATTCAAGGCAAGTAGGTTGTCTTGGACGTCCTATTTAGCAGATGGCCAGGACTTGATAGATTGAAGATTATTAGGACCCCAGTCAAGGGCCAAATGGCACAGTGGGCAGGAAAAGGAAATGGCAGTGCATATCTGAGCCCAGGCACGTGCAGTCTGGGAGGGCTCTTGGCCTCCCTTTCATTTTGCTTCAAGAATGAATAAAACACAGGCCCGCCTAGAGCCTGGGTTATAGACACATCTTCAGAGATTATTGATAACTTGATTATTAATGTGATAGTTGGTTGAACGCTTCTGGTGAGCTGTTATTTGGAAAGAAAATTTTATGAAGTTTGGATTTCATCAGCATTTATATACATTTGACCTTTTACCAAACCTGCATGTCATGGTTTCCTGTATGGCTGATGTCTGTATGGATTTTGGTTCTATCTAAACCAGTGGTTCTCAACCTTCTGGCCCTTTAAATACAGTTCCTCATGTTGTGACCCAACCATAAAATTATTTTCGTTGCTACTTCATAACTGTAATGTTGCTACTGTTATGAATCGTAATGTAAATATCTGATATGCAGGATGGTCTTAGGCGACCCCTGTGAAAGGGTCGTTCGACTGCCAAAGGGGTCGCGACCCACAGGTTGAGAACCGCTGTCTAAATACACTTCAAAGCTTTAACTCAAGCCTTAGGTTGCATTTGTGTGCTGTCCTTTTTGAAGATGACAAGTGTCGTGGAAGCTGCGCCCAAATGGAAGTTTTGCAGCGAGAGCACCCGACTGCCGGGAAAGGGGTGTCCATTTCTCCTCGTCCATCCGAAGCTCATTTGTGCAATCGCTGCCTCCTCGGCATTGCTGCGTAACTCCTTTGATCTTAAAGTGGGAGGAAGCAAATTTCAAGAGCCAGGAGCACTCCTCATGTGGCTTGAAAAGGAGTAGCATAATAGGAAATTGAGCGGATGTCAAATAAAACATAACTTTGGATTTTTTTTTTTAATTTGAACTCAAGTAGATGCTACTTCTAGAGCTAAGTGCACTGAGAAGTCCAGGGATAAGATTGCTGTTGGTTGACAATGATTCAGATTTGAGTGTTTGGGTCAAGTTGTTTTCCAATCATGTCTACCCCTATTGAATGTTGCATCTGTACTCAGCTCTATACCCTGAGCTGTACACATTTACTCTCAGTTAGGGTCCTGCCTGACTGGAACAAATCTACTTATGAGCATGCTATTTGGATCCTCACCCTGAGCTTTGCAACCAAGACATCAACTAGAGAATGAGCTTAGTATTATTACTAAGTTACCTTGACTGGACAATGATCTCCATTTTCCTTTCCCTTTATCCTCACCCATTTTCTCAACCCCAGCCACATAAATTAGCAATGGAGGCAGTGGAGGTGAATGGGCATTGCAGGAGGCATTCCATTTATGGGCTTGCTTTGAATCTGAGCTTGAATGAAACCAGGCCTGAGTAATCAGACACAGGGATACTGTAGTCAGAAGTGACCAGAAATTGAACTTGGATTTGATGGTCTGCTTATTTCCCTCTTGCATGGGCTACAGATGTGATTGGTGGGTGTAGTCATGGAGGATTAGGAATACTATTTTTGAGCTTTCACATTATCATATAAAACTAAATGCACTTAAGGGTCCCCATAAATACAAAATATTCCCCTGTCTGCAATGTTCCCATTGGAGAGGGGGGTGACTCAGTTTTAGAGAAGCGTATGAGTTGATCAGGTTGACAGCAGATGCTGTATCTTGTGACATTGAATTCCACTGAGAAACCTTGAGGACAAACCATAAGCAAAGGGTATTAGTTACAAAAATTATTGCTATCTTAGCCTGTCCCCTGTCCTCTAACTCTACACACTCATAGAAGCTCTAACAGCTAAGTTTTGCTCTGTAACAAATGATCCCAAATAATTAAAACAATAATGATGTAATTACTCTATGATTCCCATTTGGGTCAGCTTGACTGGTCTCTGCAAACTGAAGTTCTTCTGAGGCTGGGTGGTCTCAGATGGACTGGTGGGTCTAGAACAGCCGTGGGCAAACTACGGCCCGCGCGCCGGATCCGGCCCGTTTGAAATGAATAAAACTAAAAAAAAAAAAAGACCGTACCCTTTTATGTAATGATGTTTACTTTGAATTTATATTAGTTCACACAAACACTCCATCCATGCTTTTGTTCCGGCCCTCCGGTCCAGTTTAAGAACCCATTGTGGCCCTCGAGTCAAAAGTTTGCCCACCCCTGGTCTAGAACAACCTTGGCTGAGTCTGCCTGTGTCTGCTCCATGTGATCTCTCATCCTCCAATAGGCTAGCCTGGGATTGTTCACCTGGCAGTCTCAGGATTTCAAAGAGTAACAAGAGAGTATAAACCCCTTCACTTAAATCCTATAGAAACCTCTTCCTATATCACGTTTGCTAGCATCACATTGGCCAAAACAAGTCACATGATCAAGCCCAGTTTCAGAGAGAGATTTACTATGTAGGACCAAATCTCACATTATTTTATTAGTCTATAAACATAACACCATACATAATGACACCCAAAGATCCAGACAGTAATAGATAATCACTGTTAAATTATAGAGCTTCTAACCCGGTTACTCCACCCCAACTTCCACACTGTTATCTTGAACAGTTGTGGGTGGGGGACCCATTCTCAGCATTATGGGATGTTTAGCCGCAGCCCTGCCTCTACCCACTTGATGCTAGTAGCCCCTCCTCCTCCACCGCTGCTTGTGATAACCGACAATGTCTGTGGACATGGCCACATGTCCCCCGTAGGGATGGGGGGTGGGAGATAGGTAAGATTGCCTCCAGTTGAGAACAACTGCTCTAACCTGGAGATGCTGAAGCAGAAGAAAAAAAGAAACTTGTGAAGTACAGGTTATTATCAAAGAGCAAACTGGGAGCAGCAGCCCAGCAGGGAGACTGTAAGTGGGGAATGAGAGTAGACATTTTTCAGTTACCTTAAAATTTAACCTAAGATGGCCCTGGATTCCTCTGGATAACTAGGAAACATCAAGTTGGGCTTGCTGCACATTGAAAGATTCATCAATATCTCAACTTCATTATGTTACAAGTGGATTAAAAGCAAATACCTTCCCTGAAAAAAAAAAAATTCAGGAGCTATGCTGGCCACAGATAATGGATTTTGAAAAACTCTTTATTTGGGAGAAGTTAAACATACACAGAAGTAGAGAAAATTGTATCGTGATCCATCCAATACTCATCACCCAAGGTCATAAATGATTGATGAGTGGCCAGTCTTGTTATATCTATATTCTGCTCACTTCCCCTACTATTCAGTCCTGCATTATTTTGAAGCAAATTCCAGTCATTTCATTTCACTGGTAAATATTCAATGTGTCTTAAAGAAAGTACCTAGAAACCAAAATTATAATATGCTGGTGGAATTTTAAACTTCTAGAAAGGGCAAGAATGAGAATTTATGCTGAGTAGTATCAGAAAGTTAAGGGAAAGAGTGGGTGAGGGTCAAGATCAAAGAGGCTTGACTTTTGGGGAGATTTAAAACCCCAGAAGGAAATGAAGGTGGGAGACACTGTCTCTTCGAACTCTTCTGTCCTCTCCTCTCCTCTCACCTCGCCTGCTCTGAGGGACTCTTAGAAACGCCCTTTGTAGTATGTGATAAGACACAGGAGACCAGGGTTCTTAGAAGGAGAGTAAGCTGGCAGGGAACAGATCATTTTCTTAAAAGAAAAGAAATAAACACAATCACAATAAGGCATTGAAATATTCAGTCAGTGATGGATTGCTCTCTGCCGACTTTCAATGACTTTAGCCGATCAGGGTCTATCTACTTTTAATAAAACAAAGAAGGAGGACAAAGTCTTGCTGTTGCTTTTTAAAATTTTGCTAGGACTATGGTATTTCTTTCCCGCTCTCGTGTATTCTGAGAAGTTTCTTTCTTTTGATTTAGACTTCCTCACTTGATTTTATTATGCCATAAATCTATGTTTGGCGAGAGCCAGGGTATATGTGAGACCTAAGCAGCTTGCTAGATAACATCTATTTCCCCCTCCTTCTCTTTAGAAGATTAAACTGAGACTGTTGTGTCTGATGCCAGAATAGATTTAACCAATCATGTTTCCTTTACATGTAGGTCAGTCCAAGGGACAATTCTGCGCTGGATCCTATTATCCATGGGTTGAAGGGCGTCGTACATCATGGTAAGTAAGCCACGTTCACTTCCTTTTGCTGGGAGGTGAAGGGCTAAGATCTTCCTACAGAAATGGGTTATCTTGCAGAGGACAGAGGGTGACACTCATTCCTCATCCCCTGATGTTGAAGGGCATTAGAGCCATTATTTGATGGGTAAGGAGCACGCCCATTTATTACCTACAAATGGATCTGGGTTAACAGTAAGCAATTTATTTCTTTTCAGGTACCACTCTGAATGCCTGTGTCATAAATCAAAATGCCCTGAGATGTACCTACCATTCATATGCTTTGAACCTGCCACTTGTCTCATCTCTCTTCAAAAAAATAGTCTTCTTTCAAGTATCTTTTAATTTATAAATTTCTTGATTTGCCTCTCAGATTGAGAGGGAAAATTTTAAGTAGCTGTGACAAGTCATTAAACTTTGCCGCATGTGAGCAGGCACCATCAGCTCCTCGAAGGGAGAGAGCCCGGCCGTAGTTCTGTGCGGCAGACATCTTATCCCGGGGCATAAAACTGGGAGAGAAAGTAAGATAAATGGGTTCTGTCTTTTCCAACTGGTTTTTATTGGAGAGATTTTCCTGCAACTTTATTATCGGTAATACATCATGACCTGTGACATCAGGATCCTCCAATTTCAAAAGTACCCTTGTCGCAGCGAGGGGCGGAGTCTGGATGTAATGTAATGATTTTCAAAGGTTTAATAATCTAAGTAGAATTTCAAAGACATTGACGGAAATAGCATTAGTAATCATAATAAATCTCCCCTTATCTCCACGCTGTGATAAAATGTCTTGCACCGGCTGGGAGGATTGTCTTTAGACATTAGCCAACTCTGCAGAATTTAACTATCCCACCTCCCCCTTTTTAAGGGAAATTAAAACCAGCTGTCAGTGTTTGATTGAAGCAGGTGAAATTTTGGATCGATCTGCTCCTGTATCACACAGCAGGTGACAAGAGTAAACCTCATCACAGTAGAGAAAAGACCCCATAGAGGTGTTCATTGTAGGAAGTGTCTACGGCTTCTTCTCAGTTTCAGTTTGTTGTGTCTTTGAAGCAGACCTCACAGAGCCGTGAAGTAGGTCTGATGACAGGCCCCCTAGGGAACAAGGCACCGTTGCCAAAACTGCTTCTGTCTGCACATTTGTGTTTGATGTTGGTCACAGAGTGGAGTGTGGGCAGCTTCAGCGGTGCAGAGAAAGCTGGTGTGTGGGCAACATGATGTGTATTCTGAGCTCCTTTCCCCAAAAAGCCCCTTGCACACGCCATTGATCAGACTCCTTTTGACATTCCGGTCCATAGTGTAGATTCTGAGTTTGGGTGTTTGAGAAACATAGTAAATGATAATATTAGGTCTTCCTTTCCCAGACGAGTCTTCCTTTTTTTAAACCAACACACTGGAAAGAGTTCTAGAAACTTCAAAACAGGTACCTGTTCTTCAGCCAGAGAGGACGCGCTCCACCAGCTGTGGCATCTGAGTAGCCCCGGGTGTGCTCACTTCCACAGAGATATGGAAGGAGATCCCCTACGTTACCGACAGCAGTGGGCTCCCTTGAACTCTCAGATCCCCAAATCTCAGCACACTCACTGCATGGTCACCCTTCAGTTCATCAGCTGTGTCCTGGCACAATCCTGGCGTCTTTCCTCCTTACCCACCATGGCCTCCAAGGCGCTGTCATGTGTAGGGAGACTCTCCCGGGCACAGGAGGGTGGCAGGCGTCTGGGCTGCAGTTTCTGCCCCAGCTTCGGATTGACAACCCAGAGGAGACCTGCAAAAAAGCAATTACCTGCAAAGGCCATGCACTAACTTTTTCAGTAAGAGTGTGGCACGTCTACTCTGTGACATCACAGGGCTGGCCCGTTGACTGGGACCCACACAGGCCAGCCCTCAGGGACCTGGCAGGGAGGCAAGGTGCTGCCTCCCCGGGGCCCAGCCTGCCCAGTTCACCCCTGTCAGCCTGTGCACTGGCTGTTTCTGTTTCCTCTGTCAGGAAGGTTCTGGAAGCCCCTTAGCTCACAGCAAGGGGGTCGCCCTCTTACTGTTTCTGTTCTCAGTTCAGACCTTGCCTCCTCAGAAAGTTCTTAATCGTCTTAGCAAATTACCCACCCTCTCCCCGCTCCCCATCACATCATCCTAGGTTTCTTTCCTCAAAGCACTTAGTAGTATCTGCAATTACCTTGTTTGCTCACCACTCACATATCACCTACGAAAGCATACGCTTCATGAGGGCGAGAACCCGTGCGTGTGCTGCAAATAGTAGATGCTCAGTAAACATTAGCCAAATGAGTGGGCCAAGTAAGCATACACATAAGAGAAAATATCAAAACATAAGACTGGAAGAAAGGGAGGAGACACCAGAGGGCCCTCGGGGTTTGCTTCAGTTGGGAAGAGAAAGGAGTGGAGATCCTGCCCTTGGTTCTCAGGCTGTTGCTGACTTCCGTGGTGACAACCCTCATCACTTCCGTCATTCTTGCGAAGGAGAATGGGCTTCAAATGGCTAAAAAAGAATGTTGTTGTTGTGGGAACTAGAAGCATTTTCAGTTGCAGGCCCAGTGAGGGATTTGAATGCTCTGCCTATTTGATGGGACATGAGTAATCGTGCCCTTCACAGAATCTCTGGCTTGGGAATGATGACAGAGATGTGTAAAGAAGAAAAAGTCAATATGGATTTTTGTTGTAGTTCAGAATTAGCTTTGATTTCTTCAGCTCGGGGAGTCATATCGTAGAATATTGATGTCTCATTAAGGGAATGTTTTATTAATGGGAGGAATCTTCTGTTCCTTCAGCCGAGATGGGAATGAGTAATCTGGTCACTCCAGCCAATCATCCCTGGCACTTGGTCACTCGGGTTCTCGGTGAAGCAGACACCGAGATGGAGTTTTAATTGCAGGAGGGTTTTTGTGGGGAGGGACTTCCTGCAAAGGATGAAGAGGAGAGGCAGCAGGAGTAGGTGGGGCGAGTGTGGGACCGCGGCGCAGGTCTGGCACCTCTGAGAGGGGTCAGGAGCCAGGAGGATGGCTGAGGAAGTCCTGGCCAGGCTGTTGGAGAACCGCAGGGCAAGGCTGCGGGCAGGAGTTGTATGTTGGGCGGGAGCGGCCCAGCCCGGGTCCCCAGTGTGTGGTCATTGGCTGGAGCACCCAGCGGCGGGGTGTCCACGTGGACGCAGTGGTGGGTCCCGAGGCCCAGCACCTGCAGGCTGTCCACCCGAGGAAGGAGGGTCCGCAGGGAGCATTTCCACACCTGGCACGGAGGTTCTCGTCCTTCCGAAGACATTTTCCTAATCACCTTCCGGTCCTCTCGCTTTTAAAAGACTCCGTGGTTGCCCTAGCTGGCTTGGCATAGCTGTGATATTATCAACAATAAAAAATATATTAAAAATAATAAAACATAACAAATATATAAATAAATAAAAGCCTCCGAGGTTCGTACCGCAGTGCTCTTCCCAGGAGAAATACCCACACAGGACTCGTACATGGGAGCTTTGTTCCTCACCGTCCCACAATGGCAATGTAGCCAGTGCCAAGAGATGGACATGATCTCCCATGTCAGTTAAAAGTGTTTATTTTTTCTTTCAAGTTTTTGGATTACCTACTCTTGTTCTTTTTCATGGTGTCCACCCCAACTTCACACGGTTATTAAGTACTTAATCTAAGTATACCACAAAGCCAGGCCCGAAGGGCGCCCCCGACGTGGACCAGCCCTTCCTTAAGGAGTTTATGGACTCTTGGGAGAGGCAGGTTAAGCATGTAATCACATTGAAGAATGGGAGCAGAACACTGAACTCAAACGTGGGGGCTTAGAGAAGGCATCTCAGATAGAGTGACCACTAAGAGGAGTGTGGGGTGGGGAGCAAAAATAAAAAGGACTTAAGGAGTGGTAGAGGTTGTCCAGCAGAGAAGGGAGCGCTGGGCTGAGGCAGGACCCGTAGAGGAGAAGGAGCCTGCTGTTTGAGGCGCTGAGCTCAGCAACGTGCTTCTCTGACGCTGGGGAGAAACACCTAGAAGCCTTTTGGCAACATAGAATGCTGTTTCTACGTGTTTATTTTTCTGTGTAAATTGTGATTTTTACAAACTCGAGAGCCATGAAGAATTAGAACTAGAATGGAGAGAGGGGATTTGCCGTGGATTCTGGTCCTATCTACCCATCGAGCAATAGAAGGAAACACTTCAAAGTACCTGATCAGGTATTTTATTTACTACCAGTGACTGCAAGAGAGGCAAGTTAGAGGGAGAAATTGTGAATCCTACTCCCTGCACTGACTGGTCATGTATAGGGCTTTTCTAAGCGAGAAACCCAGCCATGAGAGTAGCCAAACCTCTGAAAATATTGGTTCCGAAGAACGTCATCTAGTTCTCATTTGTAAAACTCCGTTTTACTGTGTCCACACTGCACATTCACAAGCTTGTGCGGGAGCTGGGATAGAAACGTGGCCTCCGTGACGCGAGGCTTACCCAGCTGGCCAGTGCTAGGAAGTGGACATGATCTCCCATGTCAATTAAAAAGTGTTTACTTTTTTCTTTCAAGTTTTTGGGTTACCTACTCTTGTTCTTTTTCATGGTGTCTACCCAAACAGCAGGCTGTTTTGGTACATATTCTAGAAAACTGTCAAAAGACACCGAAACACTAGCCACTCCCTCTTCCGTTATGTCAGAAAGACCAGTTTTTTATTTTTGAAAGGAAACTTGCTGTTGAGCTTTGACTACCTGCCCTCTTTTCCTGTCCCCCTCCTTGCCATCACTTCTTACTTCGCAAATGGACCACTTTGCAGTGCAGGGGAAGTGGGGGAGAGGGGACAGTTAGAAACGGCCTCAGGTACTGGCCAGGGTGAGATGACTCGGCGTCCTGTCCTTGCTCCCCAGGCTCTTCTGAGAAAGCCATCAGTGAGAGTACAAGTAAATTATTACCTGAGAACACTCTTGTGAATGTCACAAAATGAGGCTCCTGGAAGCTTCTGTTAACACTGTGCAAGTTGGGGCTATGACAAGATCAAAAGTTTTTTTGTAGCCTGG